CTTTTCTTATGTTCTTCGAAAGAAAATTATTGTCTACTGAAACAATACCTCACTATCTAGTGTGGTGAGGCAGTGGCCCTGTGTTCTTTTTTTTTGTTCTTCGAAAGAAAATTATTGTCTACTGGAAACAATACCTCACTATCTAGTGTGGTGAGGCAGTGGCCCTGTGTTCTTTTCTTTTGTTTTTCGAAAGAAAATTATTGTCTACTGAAACAATACCTCACTATCTAGTGTGGTGAGGCAGTGGCCCTGTGTTCTTTTTTTTTGTTCTTCGAAAGAAAATTATTGTCTACTGAAACAATACCTCACTATCTAATGTGGTGAGGCAGTGGCCCTGTGTTCTTTTCTTATGTTCTTCGAAAGAAAATTATTGTCTACTGAAACAATACCTCACTATCTAGTGTGGTGAGGCAGTGGCCCTGTGTTCTTTTCTTTGTTCTTAAAAAAGAAAATTATTGTCTACTGAAACAATACCTCACTATCTAGTGTGGTGAGGCAGTGGCCCTGTGTTCTTTTCTTATGTTCTTCGAAAGAAAATTATTGTCTACTGAAACAATACCTCACTATCTAGTGTGGTGAGGCAGTGGCCCTGTGTTCTTTTCTTTTGTTCTTCGAAAGAAAATTATTGTCTACTGAAACAATACCTCACTATCTAGTGTGGTGAGGCAGTGGCCCTGTGTTCTTTTCTTTTGTTCTTCGAAAGAAAATTATTGTCTACTGAAACAATACCTCACTATCTAGTGTGGTGAGGCAGTGGCCCTGTGTTCTTTTCTTATGTTCTTCGAAAGAAAATTATTGTCTACTGAAACAATACCTCACTATCTAGTGTGGGTGAGGCAGTGGCCCTGTGTTCTTTTCTTTTGTTCTTCGAAAGAAAATTATTGTCTACTGAAACAATACCTCACTATCTAGTGTGGTGAGGCAGTGGCCCTGTGTTCTTTTCTTATGTTCTTCGAAAGAAGAGGTCTGAAATGTTTGCCTCAATCTAATATTACAAACTCCATGAACCGAATCACTTTCAGTACGGCATGTATGTTTTCAGAAGGATAGCTCTAAATTCCAAATGATGAAAAGGTAACGTGAAACCACTAAACTAACTTGCCAAATACGTCATGGTAATTCACAGATAATAAAGAAAATGACAATATAGAAAGACCTCACCGCCTACGTCCTGAGTGACATGGTATTTGAAAATGTTTACCCAGACACGATACACTATCGGTATTTGTACCTATAGACTGACTCCATAATCCTGTAATATAAAATTGCAAAAATGGAAGTGGGGTATTGTAATGTTATCTTTGGAAAGACAATGAAGAATACGAATCTAAGGCTTCTATATGTAAAATTATTCTTCATTCACTTCTGAACTACGTATAACACTGTGTTTTATATATAACTACCAGAACACCTACAGAAGCTAGTAAAAGAAAGAGAGAATAAAGGACTAAATATAAATTGCAAGGAAATGTAATGCATGTTTGTTAGCAAAAGAAATAGCCAAACAATACAAACTGGAGATACCAAAATCAAACAATTACATCAATTTAAATATCTGGGAAGTTTTTTTAACAGAAGATTGGAAGTGCAATACTGAAATCCGAAGGCGTATTGGAATAGCGAAAGACGCCTTCCCAAAGCTAAGCAAAGTATTAAGAAACAGTAAAATATCTGGGAAGTGTTTCAACAGAGGAGGGAAAGTGCAACACTGAAATACGAAAGCGCATTGGGATAGCGAAAGATGCCTTCTAAAAGCTAAGTATAAAGAAAGATTTCGTTTGAAACAATGAAAAGCGAACTAAAAACTATTGCGTAATATAATTCCTTCTAATTCAGAGAGAGAGAATACCATGGACCAAACATGTGAGAAAAAACGAAGTTCTATACACAATAGCAACAAAAAGAACATCTCTATCTAACATCAGTAAGAGACAGTTAAGATTTCTAGGGCACATAATGAGGAAAGAAGGCTTAGAAAATTTGATACTCACAGGCGAGATTGAAGGCAAGAAGGACAGTGGAAAACAGTGTATAATCTAATTAGTGAGTGAATGAATGACGGAGCAAGTTTTAGGAGAGATAACAAACAGGCAAAATTTATTAAGAGCTACAAAGGACAGGAAATTTTGGAGTCCATAATCACCAGTAGAGCGCTTGGAAGAAGAAGAAGAAGAAGAAGAAGTAGAAGAAGAAGAAGAAGAAGAAGAAGAAGACGTGTATCTTCTCACGAGGATGTGAACACCTTTAACCTTTCCCCTCTCGGGTGGAGCGCTTATATAATTTTCCGACATGTAGTTGTCCCGTGTTTGCGCATTCTAATCTCAGTTGGGTCGGCCGCCTTTTTACACACTGGAGGCAGCTGTTGACATATTTTAAGGCATAATTCTGTACCTGGTGGCTATGTGACTACTTTCCAGTTCAACCCTGTTATGCAACTGGCTTATCAGATGCTCTGGTGTGACACCGAGTGAAACAAACTATATTGCTATTTCTTAGGCTGAACTCAGCACATTTTGGTGTCCCCAAAAATCAACTCTTCTGGGAACAATGGCCCTGCCTTGATATTAAATTCGATGATTGTTTTTATTTATTTTTTTTTTTCTAATTTTTTTTGTAAGATACAGTATATTCCTTTTTGTGCATTAAATCTGCTTTAGTCTGTTGGGCTAAATCCCACATATTTCCCCACTTCTTAAAAACAATTTTCGTCCCATATATATATATATATATATATATATATATATATATGTTAACATGATGACACCCTGGGGAACATGCGTATTTGTCAAAATGTTGTATAATGATAATAATTCAGTAAATGTTTTTTTTCGGGAATATTTGGTCAATTCCTCTCTCCAGTTCGTGAAGTTTCAACGTTAGCAACAGATTCACTTTTTTTTTAAACATATTTGAATTGATAGAGGATTATAAAAACGCGTTTATTTTACAGGCATTTAGTTCGGAGATTGTTGCAACATTCTTTTGTATACTTAATTAATTTGGCTCTAGGCAAACTATTTTATATATACACATAGATATATAAATACATAAATCGACAGAAAGAAAGAAAGACACTGGTAGAGCAAGAATTGCGATATGGGAATGGAGACAGAGAATAAAAGACATAGATAGATAGATAGATAGATAGATAGATAGATAGATAGATAGATAGATAGATAGATAGAAAAGAATACACTGGTATAGATCGACAGGTAGATAGATATATAGATAGATAGGATTAGACTGAGTAATGATAGCATTAGATAGATAGATAGCTAAGGATAGACTGGGATAGATAGATAGATAAGAATAGACTGGGATAGATAGATAGATAGATAGATAGATAGATAGATAGATAGATAGATAGATAGATAGATAAGAATAGACTGGGATAGATAGATGAATAGATAGATAGATAGATGAATGGATAGATAGATAGATAGATAGATAAGAATAGACTGGGATAGATAGATAGATAAGATAGATAGATAGATGGATAGATAGATATGATATAGATAGATAGATAGATAGATAGACTGAATAGATAGATAGATAGATAGATAGATAGATAGATATGAATAGATAGATAGATAAGAATAGATGAATGGGATAGATAGATAGATAGATAGATAGATAGATAGATAGATAGATAGATAATAGATAGACTGGGATAGATAGATAGATAGATAGATAGATAGATAGATAGATAGATAGATAGATAGATAGATAGATAAGAATAGACTGGGATAGATAGATAGATAGATAGATAGATAGATAGATAGATAGATAGATAAGAATAGACTGGGATAGATAGATAGATAGATAGATAGATATAGATAGATAGATAATAAGAATAGACTGGGATAGATAGATAGATAGATAGATAGATAGATAGATGAATAGATAGATAGATAAGAATAGACTGGGATAGATAGATAGATAGATAGATAGATAGATAGATAGATAGATAGATAGATAGATAAGAATAGACTGGGATAGATAGATAGATAGATAGATAGATAGATAGATAGATAGATAGATAGATAGATAGGAATAAATGAATAGATTGTTAGAGGGGAAATTAGTATATGGAGATAGAGATAGAGAAGTCAAAATATGCATAGAGAGAAGTGGAGATAGTTAGATAGATAGTAAAAGAAAGAAAGAAAGAAAGCAAGAAAGAAAGCAAGAAAGAAAGAAAACAATTGGTAGAGAGGAAAATGCGATATAGAGATAGAGAAGACGACTTATCCATCGAGAGAAGTGTGGACAGATAGAGAGTGATAGAAGTAAATAAATAAAGAATGAAAGAAAAAAGAAAACTTTGGTAAATGAGAATTACGTTAGGAAAATGTAGATAGAAAAAAGTCTACGATGCTGTTAGCTCGTAACTGGGGGGAGAAAGTTGGATCGATACTTTCCCAAAGGTTATTTATGAGAAAGTGAACTCAACGCCCTCGGCTAGAATTTGAAATCGGAACTCCAATATCACTTTCCGCACTGAAAAATAGTACTTCATAATTATAGAGTACTATTTATTTATATATTTACATGTACGCAAAACTTCCGGTTGCTAAAAAGAGCACCACTTCTCATGGTATACAGAATGTAGTATAATATGCGAGGGGGCGAATTCAATGATATTATTTTTACGACCATAATTTAACAACTGCAAAATCATTGAAGTGATATCGCTGCGCCGAAAAAGGCGTTTGAAATTTAAGCATGATCTGCTGCTATTTACTTAAGCGACTACGAACAATGGACACTGATACACATCTCTTCTGATTTGTCGAAAATATCAGCCAATTGGGCACTAAACCAATATTGTTAAACTCTTTTTGCATCTACTTTCACTTTTGCGGCATTCCTACTTTCACTTTCATTTCGACATTTTCCAAATATGTGTGTATATGTGTACACGTTTTGATTTTAATTTTCATTCAGTGTTGCTTGCTGACCTATTTATTTCTTGGTCATTAACTTCACGTTTCAGCTTAATGAACTCCACTGAAGTAGAATTGTAATAGGGAGAAAAAAATGTTAGTTATTGTTCTGGGCCATATTTCTTTTGAAACTTTTTTTTGTCTGGTGATTGTCTTTTTAATTCTTCGTTTTTATTTCTGTACTGAAGCCTATTTTTGATTCGTTTCCTTCTCTGTAGTTTCCTGTTTGAACGATTCATTTTCTTTTTCTTAACTTTATCTGTTTCCTTATTTTTTTCTTTACTTCATTTATCATTCATTCATTTATTTTCCCTTATTCAGTTTTCTTTCTTTCTTTTATCTTTACCATTTTTTCTTTCTTTATTTATTTATTACTATAGTTGCATCTTCTTTTTTATATTTTCATTCCTTACTCATTTGCTACCATCATATCTTTATCTTTTTTCTTTTCTTTTTCTTCTTTCTTTATTTTTTCTTTCTTTCTCCTTTTTTTATATTGTCAGCCTTTACTGATTCACTTCCATCATATCTTTTTTTCTTTCTTTCTCCTTTTTATATTGTCAGTTTTTACTCATTTGCTTTCATCATATCTTTTTCTTTCTTTCTTTCTTTCTTTCTTTCTTTCTCCTTTTTATATTGTCAGTTTTTACTCATTTGCTTCCATCAAATCCCTCTTTCTTTCTTCTTTTTATATTGTCAATCCTTACTCATTCGCATCCATCATGTCCCTCTTTCTTTCTTTCTTTCTTTCTTTCTTTCTTTCTTTCTTTCTTTCTTTCTTTCTTTCTAAGCACCATTATGCTATTCATTGTCTCTAGTCTAATCGGACCAACATAAAGGCGAGAAATTAACGATTCTGATTTCTTCTTTTCTTTACAGCTTTTTTCTACTCGTATTTCTTCTAATGTTCCTTTCAGCCAAGCATCGAAATCTCATTCCAAATATGAGAAAACCAAACAAACCCTTTCTATTGTTTTCTATTGTTCAGTTCTGCTGACGTCGTTCAAGTGTAAAACCGAAAAAAAAAAAGACGAATAAATAAAATAACAAAACAAAAAAAATAAAATAAAAAAAGATTGAAATGGCTTCAGATTCCTCCATGATTATTATGTTTAGAATTACAGCAGTGGGCAAAAGAGATATGCAAACCAATTCAAATATAATTCCTTTCAATTTTGCTAATTGTTTTTTACTTTTTCTTTATGTTTGAGTCGATAATCATTTACTTGGTTCGGGGATGGGCAAGTATTAGTTGTTTATATTGGAATCTATAAGTATTTAGTTTACTGTTACCTTAATAATGATTGTTTATATTTGAATCTATAAGCATTTTTGGAGTTCGGAGATTGGTAAGAGTTGATCGGTTATATTTGAGTTAAACAGCATTTATTCGATTCATGGATAGGTAAATAATGTTCGTTAAAATTTGAGTCTATATATATTTACTTGGTTTGTGGAACGGTAAATCCTGGTTGCTTATATCATTGATTCAAGTATGGATAAATATTAGTCGTTTATAATTGAATAGGTAAGTATTTTGGTTCAGTGATAGGTAAATGTTGGTCGTTTTTTATTTGTATGTTTATGACATTTACAGTATGTTGAAAACCTGTAAAGATAGGCGACACAAATCCTATTGTTTCGAAAACATTTTCGAAGAATTTCTTACATTCATAATCATGTAGATAGATGCAATATAAAAAGAGACAAGAATCTCTTAGAAATAAGATTTCGTATGGTCAATATTCCTTATCAATATTTAAATGCTAACATGACAGCATTAGAATAAGAAACATATTGGAAAACTTGATACCACCAATGGTACTTCTAAAAACAACATAAAGTAATAATCCTACACTCTAAAACTCTTACTAAAAAAACTTGTAAATAAATTAGTTGTACCTGATACAGGTATCATTGTCACAACGTCCAGGACAATAGGGGATATAATTAGGAAGAAAAATAAAATCCAACACCAATTATCAAAATAAATTCTTACAATGTAAAAGCATTTATATTAGAATGACATCACGAAATCTAAAAGCCGGTGTCTCTTAACATACGTTAACATACTCGCTCGCACAGGAATAAAAATCTTCATAACTTCAATTTTTTTAAATGCCACCTTAATTAAAAAAAGAAAATAATTCTTTCTGTCGAAACGAGTAACTAATAATAACAATATTATCAAATATAAACTATTTACATTATTCTTTGTCGCCATATTTATTACAACGTTTCGGCCATTGTACGCTCCGGGCTTCTTCAGATGGTTGGAATGTCGAACTGAACCCTATTCTAGTTCTAGTTATCTCTTGTTAATTCCTCTCTACCGTAAACGGGTATTGAACTCACACTCTTTGGGTCCTGTCATTGGATCTAACCAACGACTTCATCCATTGTGCCATGTGTCCTGGGACATCTGTATGTGAATTTCTGGGTATTATAAACCTAATGTCATCAGCAACCAGTTTTTTTTACCAGTGCTCATATTACAATTTTTGCTGTTATCATTCCATGTTTTTACCAGAGCCCATATTGCAATTTTTGTTGTTTTCTCTGTCACTTACTGGTTTCCATATTGTATCCATTTCTGTAATATAGACAGATACATTATCAAATATAAGCACATGTCAAAACATTATATTACAACACCAACCTTTACTGAATCTATTCTCAAAAGATCTAACGTATATTTAACTAAAAAAAAAAGTTTTTACGTAAAAAAAACGTTTCCAAATCATCATGAAAAACCGCCAAACATAAAATCTACTAGGCACACACACACACACACACATACATACACACACACCATCATCATCATCACTTGAATCCTACATAAACAAACTGGAATTATTATGCAGTATTTAAAGCAGCATTTACTATTTTTCTGTTTGGCTGGGAATCCGCTAAAATCTTAGAACTTTGAATGGACGCGTCATCTCTTCGCGAATTAGGAACAACACAAATAATACTAACGTTTGTTTAATAAATCAAATGCACGTGAAACATGATTAACCAATGGCAATCAAACGATGCAAAAATAAAAATACCATATCTCATTCTCTGATGAAGCTTTAATAAAAGTGAGACATGTTAGATTGATAAACGTTTTCGTATTTGTACTTTATCCTACCAAACGTGTCTTGGTGCATGTAATGCATTCACAGTGAAATCTTGCAGTTTCAAACATATAAGCATAGTACCAATAACTAACGAACTCTGTCAAGTAAAAAAACACTACTCTGTCGAATACGACGTGTAATACTCATCCGTGGATAGCAGCATATGTAGATTCAAAGATTGCAGTATTCCAGTAACGAGACAAATGCGAAGACCTACCAAACGAATTTTTTTCAAATAAACGTTCCGCTAACACGCGACTAGGGAAAAACTAAAGCGAATGAAAACATATGGAGAACCACCTTATAAATGACTTAAATATCACACGAGCGTTTAAACTGCAGACGGTACTATTAAAAGCGACTTCAAAGTAAACAAATTATCAACATATAACACTGGAACGTCACACGTTAGGTTACAACTGGATAAAGAGAAACCCTGTATGATTTAATATAAGAATTTTTAACGCTTTTTACGTTATAAAGAATGCTGTACCATCTTTAAGATACAATCATCCTCTACCTATCGAAGTTAATTCCAAATTCGAGTGTGGAAACAAGTTTAAATGGACATCTGAAAAAAAGCGGTAAATGAGAGAAAGACGCAAATTCTAATCACTCTTTTAGCGACTATTGTATGATTAGTAAATCAGTACTTACAGTTTTGCAGTAAAACCTACTGCACCGTTCCCAGTGTTTACATTACATCCGATGCCTATATTAGATGCTCAAAACAACAAAGCTAATATTTTATTTTTCTTAATAGGCAATTACTGCTTCTTTTGAAAATACTTAAAATAATTTTGGAATTTTTCATGATCAATTTTCTACAGTGACGAAGAAATTAATCCGTGTACTTGAAAAGATGGAAACTAACATAAATAAGCAATACGTCTAAATTATCTAACCAAACAGGCTTGAATGAAAATATGCTGCCTAAGTATATATATATATATATATATATATATATATATATATATATTAATGCTCTGTAAATTTACATTGAGCACTATTTTGTAAAAATAAAAATATCTATAAGAACACCGGATTATATATCTTACTGTTCTTTCTTTTTATTTATATATATATATATATATATATATATATATATATAGAGGTTTTATAACATATTTATGTTATAATTTTAAAATAGTTTTATAATTCTAAACTTAATAGAGATTAAATTTAGATTTTAAAATTGGTAATTTTTTTACTTTTAATTTTAATATGAAATTTTATCATATTATTCGTTACAATAAATTCTTTTTTAGTATAACCCCAACTTTAAAACTCTTAATAGCTATTATAACCTTACTTTGTTGTCAAGTTTTTTGAATTTTCCTATACTTGAGTTTTGATTGGTCATTCTAGCTTTTATAACAACGTTTTCTCCTTGCGAAGGATCGTTAATTAATTTGAAACTTTTAAAACCATTTATATTACATTCAACATCATCACTTGATAAGACACCGGAGGTGTTGAAACAAAATGGCTATTTTTGTAGTGATTTTATAACATATCTATGTTATAATTTTTAAATAAATAATATATATATATATATATATATATATATATATATATATATTGGAAAAAGAAATATGGCAGTTTTTTCCCCAATCATTTCACATCATCAAGGCAATAAAGCCACTAGGATGTAAGGGCTAACTGAATGTTAGAGAATATGCGAAAAACTACTATTAAGGAGAGAGAACATTAAAAGAACGAGAATTAAAAAATTGAAGATAACGATTGACACTGCATTGAAACTTTTGAAGACCAAAGTTGACTGGGAGGCAAGAAGACGTAAGAGAGTTCCACAACCAAGAAGTGCGAGCGAAGAAACTGTTAACATAGAACTTACGGTTGCAACAAGCCATTTCAAGTGTTAAATGATGAAACCTAGAGCCAATCTAGTACTGCGCTTAAATTCATAAAGTCAAAGGTACCATAGCGGAAAGTTCATCAGAACAATTACCATGCAAGTATTTATTTGAAAAAAATTTAATACGCAAGTCCCAGTCTGTTATTTGCCATACGTTATACACGCTTAGACGATCATGTATCTTTCGATACATGACTGATGAGGCAGATTTTTTTCTCACAGTAAGTTGCCATTTCTTTTTGCGGTACATCAGTTACCATCCAAGGCTATAGAACCCGCTCGATCCCATTACTTACACATAGCTGAGGGGTTAGGGAAGAAGAAAATTCATACCTTTCCCAAGGTTATTAGCACGTAAGTGAATGTAATGGATTCGACTGGAATTCAAACTCGACTTTCCGATTCCTCAATCCGAGGCGTTATCTATTACTAATACGCCAATATTTCACAGAAATAGATTTTAAATACATGGGTTCACCTCAACAAATAGGCAGTCTATGACCATTAACTTGATTTATGTATGTATAATAGATAACTAAGTATTCGTTGTTTATATTGGAGTCTATAAGCATTTAACGTGTTCAACGAAAGGTAAATATTGGTCGGTTCTAAGTATTTACGAGGTATGCGAAGAAGCCGACCTTTTTGATTGACTCTCCGCCAATAGCTGACGGCGATGTTGACTTCCACGAGGGTCTGTTTTCTTGTTGATCTGAAGCCCTGTAACTGCTGTTGTTGTTGCCAAGCAATTAACCTTGTTCTGAATCTGATTGCAGTCGAGTGAAA